TCCAACTGTGGCCTGACCAGTGCCACAAAGAAGAGAAGCTTCACCTCCCTGCACCTGTTCATGAGGCACCTCCTAATGCAAAGTGCGGTTAGCTCTGCTAATTTCTTCCCCACATTGATGACTCATATTCATCCTGGAGTTGACAATGACTCTGAGATCTCTTTCCATGGCTGTCCTGCCAAGAAGGTCATTCTCCAGCCTATAGGTGTGCTGGTGATTCCCTCTCCCTAGGTGCAGCACCTTGCACTTGTCCATGTTGAACTCCATCCTATTGTTCTCTGCCCACTTTTCTAACCTGTCTAGGTCTGCCTGGATTTGTTTTCTTGCCATCAGTGTGTTTACTTTGCATAGTTTTGTGTCATCAGTGAATTTGGATAGAAGGCTTTCCACACCTTCATTCAGGTCGCTGATGAAGATACTGACTAACACCAGCCCAAAGCCTTGGGGGACCCCACTGCCCACATCTTTCCAGGTTGATACTGACCCATCCACTACCATGCTCTGGGTATGACCTTTAAGCCAATATGCCACCCACATGACTGTAATCATCTGTGGCACAGCCGTTCAATTTGTTTATGAGAATAGGATTAGATACCATATTGAAGGCCTTCTTAAAGTCCAAGTAGATGACATGTACCTCAACTCCTGCATCTAAGCATTTAGTGACCTGGTCATAGAAAGAAACAAGGTTAGTCAGGCAGGATCTAACTGCTATGAACCCATGCTAGTTGCCCTTCAACATTATGTTACCTGCTGGACTGCTATAAATGTGTTCCTTGATAATTTTTTCAACAGCTTTTCCAAGGATATGGGTGAGACTAACTGGTCTATAGTTACTCAGATCCTTCTTTCTCCCCTTCTTGAAAACAGGGACCACATTGGCCCTTTTCCAGTCCTCTGGGACCTTACCTGAGCACCATGAGTGCTCAAAAGGCCATGCCAGTGGCTCTGTTATGACACTGGCTAATTCTTTCAGCACCCTTGGATGGAGCTCATCCGGTCCTGCTGACTTAAAAACATCGTGTTTCTTTACCAGGTTGGCGCTGACAGTGGGCTGCTGTTCCTCCTGCTTCTGTCAGTAATGCAGAGAGATTTGTCTAGATCCGAGTTCAATGATACAGAGGCAAAAAACTCATTGAAGAGCTCTGCTTTGTCCCTCCTATCTGTCACCAACTGCCCTTGGCTATTGTGTAGGGGTCCTGTGCTGCCCTGCGCCTTCTTTTTGCTCCCTATATACCTGAAGAAGGACTTCTTATTGTCCTTAATTTTTGTTGCCGGCCTGAGTTCGAATGCTGCTTTGGCCTTCCTGACTGATTCCCTGCAAGTGCAAGCCAAGGAGGTATACTCCTCCTTGGTAGCTACCCCCTGCTTCCACAGCCTGTATGTCCCTTTTTTGCCCTGAGGCTTTCCTGGATTTCCCTGTTTAGCCAGGGATTTGTGCCCCTTTGCCCCCTTTTCTATGCAGTGGGATTGCCTCCTCTTGCAGTAAACTTTCCTGTGTCAAATGAACCCTCAGCCTAACATTTTGGGTGTTCGTTTAGGGCTTCAATTCCATAACCTGTAAGCATGTGGGCTGACTGAGGTTCCTATCCCAACTACCCCTAAAATTTGCAAGGCTTTGAAAAAAGATGCAGCCGCTGGTTCATTTTAGTGGCCTAACTAGGAGATGTTTTGGGTGCTTGACTTGCCACTCCAAGCATCTGAACATTTTGGACTCCGATTCACCCCTGGAAGACGTTGAACCTTCCACTAAAGCCCCTTCTAATTTCACTGATGTAATACCCCACTCTCCTCAATCCCACCAGAGCAAAAAAACCCCCTCCATATAATTAGACAACCAGCCTTAGGCTTCCCTGGGAGATCTCTGCAGAGACTTGGATACCATCCGCTCACCTGGGGCCTCCTCTTCAGGTCTGTAATGTTGCTGATGAGTCATTTAACATCTTTCAAGTCATTTCGAGTCAGTGGCCTGTTTCAGCTTCATGAAAAAAGTAGCTACCAAAAAAATGTGGCAGCACAAGTTATCACGTTATTACACAAGCATCTGGCTGTGACTGGCATCCAACAGCAAAATAGTTCTGCAGGCTTGGCCCACGAAGAGGGTTCATGTTTGAGCCATGGCTGTTTGAAGCGTAGCGCTATGCGACTGCCAGCTCTTCGGCCCCGGCCGCGGTGCTCTGAGCAGCGTGCCGCTCACCTCAATGGTATGTCGGGATGGCCAGGCCACCTGGTGTATTTACACACACACTGACTGCAGGTGTGCTGTCCTCACCCTCCCTTAAAAAGGTCAGCAGGGATCAGACTGCTGATGGCTTAGTCAAGGCACAGCCAAATGTGTGTGGCGTTCCTTTAAATTGCGTTTGACGGGCATGTAGCAAGGGATTGTAATTAAAGCAGAGTTGTAATTAGACTGGCCCACTTGAGCAGCAATGTGTATAAAATGACGCAGGAAAATTCCACTGAGCCTTGCAAATCTTTGGGAGACAAATCCCTTTCCTTTACCTCTGCTAATGTTTCACTGTGGCTTATAAAATGTGGGCTCGATGGCTCCTACTGTGATGAAAGCACGAGCTCCGTGTTTTATGGGAAGAAAAACCTTGGAAGCTTCATTTAATGCTTCTTGTTGCCTTTTCTGTATTTGCAAGGGGATGATTTACACAGACTGTAAATTCCTTCCTTTTATCGGGTAAAATCTTGTCCCCATGAAATCAGTCTCAAAGATCCCATTGCCTTTGGTACATCATGACACCACCAGTAATGTACTTGATTAATGTTTATATGCCACAATTTATCCAAGGATCACTTCACAGGAAATATTAATGAAGCTTCCCCACTCACCTGGGAGGTAAGTACAGGGTTGTGTTACTGCAGCTGAAACGTAACCGCTTCTGACACGAAAGATGGCAGCTGCTCTGGATGCAAAGTTGCACATCTCTCATGTGCTCAGGTCCAGTTCAGGCGCCTGCCTCCTTTACTGTTCTGGCATCCAATGCTTCCTAAGCATGTTGTTCTATACCACCCACATTTAAAACAATAAAGATGCATTGAACAAAGGGCAGAAATTCTGCTTTTGTCTTGAGCAGCAACCAGTAGGGAAGAACTTGAATCGATCAAGTAATGAAGCATGTTTTCACGGTTCTTGGGATGCTCTTTGGTATCATTGTAGGATGAATCCATCTGCCAGTTTACCTCCAGCTTGTATTGCAGGAGCATCCCAGTGGTTATTGAACTGAAATGACTGGGATCGCGCACCTTGCTGGGGTTACCTGTGCCCAGCAGTCTTTCCTGCCCAAGTGCAGAGGGGCTGGACCCGGTGATCTCGTGAGGTCCCTTCCGACCCCTAACATCTATGAATCTCTGACTCCCTGAAGGAAGTGACAGAGATGAACCCCAGGTAGGTGAACTTCACAGTTCTCAGCTCTCCTTTTCTGTGTTACAGGATGTTTTGGTTGTGGAATATGTTTCCTTTATACAGAAACTCACCTTTTTGTAGCATTCTGCTTAGGATGGGAAAGCTTTTCCAAAGAGGGAGACCTCATGGGGTAAGTTGGTCAGATTGCATCAATCCAGTTCCCTACGGAAATAGGGGCAACTGGGCTGTCCTGGCAGTATATGAGATCCTGAATCCACCTGCAGCAGCCTTTCTTCCCCATCAGAGAGGTGTTGCCCACAACCCCATGCTTGGCCCATACAGTTTCCCTTGCTCCTTGGATTGGTTGAAATGCATAGCAGTTTTGGAAGTGAAATAAAGTGTAAGTAGGACCATCCTGTGTGCCTTGCCCCTCCTTGGCAATACTTTTTTAAGCCAAACTTCTGCACATGAATTGCATATAGAAGGATGTATCCATATTGCCAATATAACAATGCTCATTGCACAGGGACTTTTCTCCTCCTTTTCCTGATGTCTGGTGCAAAGCACATTTATTCCAGGGTGTGTTAGCAAAAGCTCTGCATTGCGCAGAATGCTTATTTCCCAAGCTCAGTCCCACTAGAAAACCTCTCCTAACATAAATGAGAAATTAAACCTAATCAGGCAAGCTAAACCCACTTAGGAAGACAGGAAATGTTCAGCAGTAATGAAGTTTATTTGTGTGTCAAAGCCTAAGGGCCACGTAGATCCAGTTCCTCAGCGGTAGCTTGCGTATTGGAAATAAAATGCATTGACAACTGTTTCCTAATAAAGGTTTAAATATGAAGTAATAATCTCTCTCCTGCTGTGATAGCTTCTCTGAATGCTCCTTCCCCTTGGTGTCATTCCACTTCATAAACACAAGCACAACGGGGGGGTTTATCTGCATTGCTCAGTCAGTGTACGTAACTCGTGCTGATGATGCTAGTCTTGCCGCATGGAAGTTCAGGCTGGTGTTTCCTTCTAGGTGGGCAGCTGTATCCAAAGTGTTTTAGAGTCCAGCATTACAACTGAGTGATGAGACGGGATGGGCCATGACCAAGGCATGAGCCTGGGGCACCGGAGTAGACGTTCCAGTTTCTGGCTTCAACCCAGACTTCATGAATAGGGATCTACTCAAATAGCAATTTCATGGAAAGCACAAAATCCAGCCTTGCCCATGAAATCTGTGGAGAGAAAAACCCTATTAAAAATAAAATGCTGGCTCCCCAGTGGGAGCCAGCAGTCCTCGTGGCTACTGCAGCCTGGCCGCGCAGCCTGCCTGCAAGGGAAGTGGGGAGGGAGGCTGCCAGCACACAGGGGAGACCAAAGCAGCAGCTGTCCCCACCTCTTGCCACTAATTGGCTAAAAGGTCTGCCTGTTGTGGCCTCACCCCCTCCACCAATTGGCAGTGAGGGGCAGGGCCACATAACAGACCATCCTCACAGCCAAGCAGTGGTGATGGGCGAGGTCATCGGGGCCCCTTGGCCAATCAGAGGCATGGGGAGGACCCTATTATGATATACCTTGAAAACTGTGCACAAAATTGCCCGGCTGCCTCCTCGAGTTGGGCAGCCCCCTGTTCAGGAGTGCGTCCTGGGCAAGCCACGTTCGCATCTCCCAGCACTGGAGCGTGGGTAAAGACTCTTCCCTAGCTCACACGGGGGTTGTGTGGCTAAACACATTAAAGGGTGTCAAGTAACGATGCAGTGATAAGGGCCATAAACATTTATATAGAACTGGCATGTTGCTCAGGGGGGTCTCCCTCTGCTCATCCTCCATGATGGTGAATTCACAGTTCAGCTTCCCAAAACCTCCAAGGAAATAAAGCATTTCTATTTTACAGATGGAGAAATGAAGGCAGGGTGTGGTTAAGTGACTTGCCCTGGGCGGCATAGGAAGTCAGTAGCGGAGGGAAAAAATGTTGCTACGACAGTGTGCATAGCCTTTACGAAGGAGTCATTAGTACACCGTATCTTTATGATACCTCTGATCTGACACCCGACGTGTCTGACTTTGGGCGCCATTCACGTTGAGGTGTAAGGGATGACTGCTTCAGCTCCTATTACTCCCGGACGCGTGGCTGCTAGATATGAATGTCCTTTTGGCATCTAGGAGTCGCTGTCGCAGATCGCCATGCAGCGGTGCTTGGCAGCAGAACAGGACAGGACAGCAGCCCCAGCCCCAAAGGCAGCAGGTGCGTACAGCCAGACAGCGACGACAAGGGCCAAGGCTGAACAGATGGTGTAAGTGCGTGCTTCCTGGAATAGCAAGTCCTACACAGACTTGCACACTTGATCCATAGCGATAATCTCCTGGATCCCAACTGTGACCAGCAGGTCGTCCTTCTACGCCGCTCCATTTTTGTTGGGTTTCTGGTCTTGGCCTGATCCCAGGGGTAGCTTAATTGCAACTTCATGCTGTGGTGTCTCCCTCTCCAGCTTCACCATCTTGTTTTAGCTGATGTTTTCTATTTGCAGATCTCATGCTTCATCCCCTTTTCACAGATAGGGAAATCCAGAGATAAGGAGGCTGTCTTGTCGGAGCCTGCAGAACTAGTCAATGGCACAGCTGCAAAAAGAAAGAGGCCTTTTGATTCCCATGTGAGGGGGCTCTTTACTGGATCACACTGCTATTGTACTGGGTGCAGTCCACCGTTCAGCTACACTCGGTGACCTGACCCCATCTTATCTCCCCTCTTAAGTTCCATATTATTACTTCATTCCTCTACCCTTTGGCTCCATACTGCTGTCTGGGTGGCATGTTTTGAAGGTCACCTTTGCATATTAGGATCTTGCCAGGGGAGGACAAGTGCTGTGCTGGGGGTAATCACAAATACTTTGGTGACAGAACTGCTAAACCTGGGAACAACAGAGACACTGTTGTGGGTATTGTGCAGTGTGTGGCAACCACAGGCAAAGAGCCTGGGAGTGAAAAGGTGGAGAGGGCACAGCGTGGAGAGCATTGAATGAAAACCCAGCAAGCTGTGGTTTGGCAAGCTTCCCGCTCATCAGGATTTGAGCTGGAAGTTCAAGTTGCAGCATTCAGCGACTTGGGCCTGCTCTCTGCCTGCATTGGCAGAAAGTGGCGCTTGTCAGTTAAAGCAGATGTGTCGGGTAAAGATGAATCTTCCCAACTCCAGCGCAAACATGTTGCTTTAAAGTATTATTTTACTGGGGTGCGGATTGATGCTCTTGTTGATGTGCACCCAGAAAAGAAGCTATCTGTCCTCCACATTTATTTTCGAATGGGATGTGTCCCTACTAAAGGGTTCTGACAACGAGTATTTTTTCAGGCACGCGGAGACCGATACTGCTGTGTGTGGGTGTTAGTCTCTCTTATCTCCTCCTGTGTAGTGAACAAGTATCACTTGTTCCTGCTGCAGGGAGAATCAATTTGAAATGGGAGGCACTGGCCCTTGGTGACTGGGTTGTTTCTTAACATACCACTGCTGACTTGGCATTGAATTCCCAGCGACTCCGTCACCGCCTGGCCGCTCTGCAAATGATGCATCTCAGCTGTTTGCATGTCATTTCGGCACAAGTCGTTTGCTATAGTGGATGCTTCAAAATGCAGACGTGCCTTGAGAAAGGCACACGCACAGCAGAGAAGGACCAAGATAGTGAAGCTGGCTGTTCTTTATAACCTACCAACCAGACCATCTGTTTAATTTAACCCTCAGCTACCACTGGCTGCTCTGTGTTTCTTTTCATTTTGTAGGTAGCAAATTGCTAGAAGTAACTGTGACCTGATGGAAAGTCTGACGGCTAGGAAGTCACTGCTGAGCCTTTTAGCAAAAATAACCTCTCTTTCTTGTTCCCTGGAGGTAAGGAGAAAACATGCCTGACAATTCAGCCAGTGTTAGTCTGGGGCACGCCAGCTGCTCCTTGGGGAAGGTACTTCCTAAATTGGGAGGAGTCGCCCTGAGCTGGCAGAGGAGAGCCCGGTTCTGAGAAATGCTTTGAACAGGGAAAGCGTGTGAAAGAAATGGGTGCGTTCAGTCTGGGAGGCCACAGCCCAAGAGTCCTTCAATGGAAAGACAGACCCAAAATGGATCACGCTCAATGGTGACTAACCAGCACGAAGGAAATGATTGTTCAGAGAATTGAACAAGAGGGAGCCGAATTCACCAGGTATGCAGGAGGATGAGTCATGTGAACTCACGCTCCTTGGGATTTACAGTTGGCTTGCACCCAGATTTTGGATTATTCCTTCACCAGAACAGTTAACTTGCTCAGCACAGATGCTGATGTGGACGTGGCTTATTAGCATCAAGGTGCTTATATTAGTCTAGCTTCTTTGCAAGAGTTCACGGGGAGAAGCTGTGCTGGTACAACTGCATTCACCAAAACGGAGTGTAAAAAGCCACCAAGTTAGGCTGACTTACCCGAGTTCAAGCTGATGCAAGTGAAATGCTGAGAAGGTGGGGGTTAGAGCAGGGTGTCAAACTCCAATGATCTGGCAGACTTTGGGGCTTTATGTGGTCCAGATGACCAACCTCTGGCAGGGCTGGCCCACAAGTTTTGGGGGCCCCCTGCTCCAAAAAAATCGGTGGCGGGGGGTGGGGTGGCTAGCGGCCAAAGAAGCCAGTGGCAGCGGA